AGCTCGTTCACAGTGGCACTTGTCCCAGGGCTGTCTTTTCTCAGCTTCACATTAGTGGGCAGTTTCATGAGTCATTGACTTCAGCAGAATGGAGCCCATACACCCACTGCTTTGCTCTCTGGTCCCCTCCGGCTTCACTGTAAGGCTTTTCACATTTCAGACCCTGCATAAGTCCACTGGACTAGAACCAGAAAATCTGATTTCAGCTTCATTGTATTTCGCCTCCAAGGACCTATGTAATGCTATGCTCTGTGTATTAATTTTCCTCAGAAGAGTCATGAAGATTGTTTCCTGGAATGACAGCCTCACACCTAGTTTTATTACTTAAAGCTTAGGATGTGTTTGCTAGCCTCTCACCCACAGAACCAAGAAACTTAGTTTGCTGTAATTATAGCAAATTCCCAAAATATAGGCAAAGAAATGAAGCAGCCATTCTGTATGTACCTTGTATTTATCTTTCTCTGTCCTTTTTCCTCCCTTCTTTGCCCTAAGCCTGACTCTGAGTCCATTCTACCTTCAATGGCTTGTCAACTGCATTCAGAGCCAGCTTAATAAGCTTCTTGTGACCTTCCTCTGTCCTTCCCCACTGCCCTCTGGCCATTTGCCCACTGGTCTGCATCCAATTAAGAGGGTAGACAGAGGGAAGGGAAAGACATGACCTCAGTGTGAGCTGATTCTGCTTCTCATTAACGGTCCTATGGAAAGAGCTGGTAGAGTCCTCACACCGTGCTTACTCACCAGGAGACTTGAGTGCCACTATTTGTTCACAGTTTTTATACTGTCGCCCAGTAACCCTAACATCTGAAATATGTTTGATCTGTTTTAATTAGCTAGTCAATAAGAACTATGTCTCTCCGACAGTGCTTACACATTTACAAACAAGTATACTATCAGGGAAGGCCTGGAGCAGAACTCTTAATAAGGCATAATTTATCCACTACTTCCCATCACAGAATCTTTTCTTCCCTCTCTTTACCTTCTCCCCATGTACCTTTACCTCCCACATCTTTTCCCACAGCAGTATGGTGGAAATGGCTGTTTTATGCAGGAATTTCTGCAAAATAGCCATATTAAACACATAAGGCCTTATAAAAGAATGACCTAGAACTTCGGATACTAAGACACAAGGGAAAAGAACATCAGGAGTATGTTCTGTTTTCTTTTATGGTTGTTTCTATCATTTTATTTAGAAGGAGGCGTGCTTGTAGGGCAAGTGTGCCCTTCCATGAAAAGTGCATATTGCTCATTCAAGGAACACTTCCTGAGTTTCCCACAAGTAGATGATCCTATTCAGGTATGTTTAATTGTTAGTTAATAATAAGTATCACAAAAATACAAAGCATTGTGAAACTTCATGGGGATTACCTCTGGCTGAAGCAGGCAGTTTCAGATGCTATTTAGCCAATTAATGAATTTCCAGCCCCACTGGTCAATCACACACAGCCAAGGGCACTGAAGTGGAGAACTGTAGCTCATTTTACAGTCTCAAAGTGCAATCTCAGGGCTGGCCAAATAGCTCAGCAAACTAAGCACCCACTTAGGCTGAGTGCAGTGACTGGGGTTTGATCCCCAGCCTGCTGTGCCTGCCCCGCCTCCAGCGTGTGCTGAGACAGCAATTGAGACCGGGCATGGTGGTGCGCACCTGTAATCCCAGCACTTGGCAGGCTGAAAACAGGAGGATCACTACAAGTCCAGTCTACATAGACAGACCCTGCGCTATGTACATTAAAAAAATAAAAATTAAAAAAGTGCAATCTCAGCTTGGAAATGCAGCAAGCAAGGAAGGATAACCAGAGTTTACAAGCAGAATCTCTAGTTGCAACTGTGATCGGTGACTTCTGGTGTGAAGCTGGGCAGCTTGTTTGGCAGGATCCTTGCACTAGGAATCTGCAAGGCCACCCTGTTGCCAGGGTACCACAGGCACCATATACATGATCCTGTCACATGTTCTCATAACATTCTATTGCCTGTCTTGTTTTTCCTATTCAGATCAAAACAAAATCTTTATGGCAACAAGGCAAGTTACCATTAGTGACATTTGCATTTACCAAAAGGAGAGTGAGAGAATATTTTCACTGACATTAAAATAAAAGAAAATATTTTCTCCATTCTTTTTGGGAGAAGAGAAAAAAAAAATCTTCCTTCAAGGCTTGAAAGCTGTTACTTTTTAACATTTTAACAATTTCAGAAGTGGAAGAGAGAAGAGACAGTAAAAATGCTATAACAATATTAACATGGAGACGTTTTCTGAATAAAGTAACTGTGTTTTGAGGTTATCTTTCTGTTGCAACCCAGAGTTAATGAGATCTGGCTTCTTTACCTAAGAAAATGGCTATACTGTTGATTTTAGCTTTCTTAGTTTTAAATGTATTAGCATCACATTACATTATTTCCAAATGTAACAGTGAAGACAATGATTTGGGACCACACGAGGAAACTGTGAAAGCCTTTCTTCCCTCTTATATCCATTTCTTTCCAGGAAGAGGAACACATATCTCTAGTATAATGAGGCCAAAGAAGGAATTGAAGGTGTCTGCAGAGTGCGAGCGAAGTGTGGTAGGAGGCGACATGTGATAGAAGGCAGTTTGAGTCACCCTCCGTTCTGCCTCCACGACTTTGGCGGCTGTCTCTGCAGTAAGCACAGCAGCCTCCTCAGCCCCGCAGAGGCTGAGCCTCAGAGGTGAATAAGGGGCCTTCTCCTTCCAGGCATTAGCACGAGAAGGGACAACTTCTACCGAAGTTTTCCTACATGAGGCCGGGCCACCAATAGCAGTGATCAGTGAACTAACAGAGGAGGCCAGATACGGGTCCTTGTCTGTTTTTGTGAGCGCTAAGACACAGCCATGTGGACCTGTCTGTGTGTTGTGCTGTGTCTTTTCTGGCATGTTTCACATTACAGAGGCAGAGATGAACAGTGGCTGAGCAGCGGCACAGATTCCCAGATTATGGCCCTGTACAGAAAAAAACTAATTTGCTGGCCCCCAGTTTAAATCCTTCTTACTCTATAGATAAGCTCTTTTTGAAGATGAAAGGGAATAAGGAGGATGTAGGAAATGCTGCTCACTGGAACTCACATAGCAACTCTAAAAGATTTCAAGGTAGAAATACATCACGCATATTCACACTCTTCTAATTTGGTAATTACTATGACAGTGTCAAGGGGGCTGACTAACAGCTGTTGTGAATCTGCATATTTTGAACATTAAGTTAAAAATTTTCCCATAAATTAGACATTTGACTTTTTAAAGGGAATTCAGCCTTTGCTGGAGAAGGACTATTATGAAAAAAAAAAGAACAAAAAACCAAAACAGGTACACCAAGGGCTCCTTTATGACCCCAGTGAGAGTACCTGGGGGAGGAATGTCCACTCCAGCATGAGCTCCAGCAGGGGTGGGGTGGGGTCGGGTGGGGGTGGGGTGGGGGTGAGGTGCTCCTTAGTTCCATGTCATGAAGGGTACTAAACTTAGACTCCCTGTGGGGAATGCATTGCCCCTACTGCAGGTCAGAAATGATGACTCTGGAGGATGGCCACACTTTTGGTCTCATGTATAAGGTTAAACGGAGACTAAAATAGACCTAGGCAGCAAAATGCTCCTCCTATAAATTAAGGACAGTATCTGTGGGTACTGTGGGTACATATATACTTTGTGGCAGGTTTTTTTCCCCCATATTCAGGTAGGGTGGACTGGTTTCGGTAGCAAAACCAGTGCTTTGAGTTTCTGTCCAAAGTACTCTCGGTCTGTCTGTAGTCTTTTTGGTTAAACCAAAATATATTCTCTGGGTTAGTTTTGAATTCTGAGTGCCCAACGGTCAGAGTTAAACTTGAAATACTTGTGGTGCTCAGTGAGATCATCAACCGGCCATCCTATCCTTCATCCGACTCGCTGGAAAGAGCAACCTGCTTTGCATGCACACTCAGACATTTTCGTGTTCTTTCATTTTTGACCTGCCTTTTCAAGAATGTTTTCCATTCTTTCTGTGCTTGCCTGCTCCTGTACACTCAGGCAGCAATGCGTCCAGCCACTTTCTAGCTGTTCCCTTTGTTCTCGGCTCCCAGGCCTTTCTGAGCCAGGGATTCCTACTCCATCCCTTCTTGGCAGACATCTACCCTCTCTTTCAGAAGAGAGAGGCAGGAAGGATGTCTGTGCAAATAAAGAACAAAAAGTGGAAATAAAAGAGCCAGCCAAACAACAAGAAAATAAGGCTTTGCCTCAAGAGGAAAAAAAAAAAAAAGAAAGAAAGAAAGATAAAAAAATAAAAAAAAAGAAAGAAAAAGGAAATAATATGGTTCTGGCAAAATTTGTTCTCATTTCTATTCACAGTGCAGCACACAGAGGGTGGCCTAATGAAGGACTTTTTGTTCTCAGTGACTTCTCTCTGTGAGCAGTCCCTCAGGTGGCCCGCACCTGCCCGCCCCCCAGGGTGGCTGTGGGTAGCTTTGCTCTGCCTTTGCCCACCGAGACTGAGCCCGTTTTCAATGTGCGCTCCCCTTAGCTCAACTTTAGTGTGAGCAAGAGCCCAGTGTCCGCCCCCGCAGCAACCCGCTCAATGTGCCTAAGCTTCCTTTCTCCTTTGGATGCCTCCTGCATTACAGCTCTGGGGTCATCTTCAAACTTCTTGTTTTGTATCCAGGCACTCACTTTTGCAGGCTGTGCACATGCATATCAGTAATAAGGAGGAATGGGAGACACTGGCTGCTCTGTGTCTGCGGTACCAGTCTAAGCTGGGCTCTGATCACCCATGAGCCCATGGTGACACTGTCTAAGCCTATCTGTGTGAGCAGTGAACACACTGAGAGGTGAGACCAGAACCAAAGCACATCTTGCCCATGATGTCTCCAAAGGTGGTGGTGGGGTGGCAGGAAATACCATACACAAGGTCACCTTCACAGGACCATATATCAGGTAGGGTCAGAGAAACCTATAAAGCTAGCACGACCCACCTGGGTGTCAGCCCACTTTAGTTTCCAAAGTTTTCCCTGTGAAATCATTAGCAATTACCTGTTGATGCTGTTTTTCTGTGCTAACATCTGCCAGTCCTTGCCTTTGGCATTGGGAGTATCAAACGTTGCACAAATCCGCTGTCTGATAGAATAGGGGATTTTGAAGGCTTTGGGGCCAGTCTGTGCAGGGAAAGCGCTGTCCTCTTGTGCAAAGAAAGTGATGGTTTCTCGTTCACTCTATGAGTAAAATAGGAAAAACATCACCTAAAACATTTTCATTTCTAAAAATTTATGTAACACACATTTGTAACATGCTTTCCAGTTGTAAGAGAGCCCATGAAAATGTCGACAAGTTCCCTTCCCTTGTAAAATAGTGAAGAACTTATCTAGCAGCCTAATAAAGTGTGTACTAGAGATCTACAGTTACCTCTTCCTTTCAGGGGAGTTGAAATCCCCAGCTGCCATCATCCAAAGAACCACTGGAAAATATCAGGATTAACACTTTGTCATAGGCATACAGGGTGGATCTTGAATTAGGGGAGAAATTACCAAGTGACAGATTGAGGTTTACAGAGAGACCCTCTATAGTCCTCCTGCTCAAAGGTGAATGGGCTGACGGCAGAAGCCTACCAGCTATGGCAGGCCTGCTTCTGGAAGTCACGGCTCTAGTCCGCCTGTGTGATGCCCATTGACTGTACAGTAGTGTTTCTTTAAAAATAGGCCTGGTCAGGAAAGCTACAAAGAGGCACTCAGTGTATGACAGTCACAAAAAGTTTGTCTTACTTGCCAGTCCTAAAGTCGTATGATTCTATGATAAATCTTTTGGTTTTGTTACAGATTTAAATGCCTTGGGTGAAAAAGACCTCCACATGAATTAGAGAGAGAGAGACAGACTAGCTTAGTGCAGGAATGCAGGCTAACGGGCTTCAGCCTTCTGTCTGCCTACCTTTCTTTTGAACTGAGGGTTATTCAACAAGGATTCGGTATTTCAGCATATCATAGCACTTAGATCATGTGCAAAATAAAATTACACAGAAATTTGTTGGATTGCAGTAGTTACTGATAAGTTTATGCTAAGACTTGAAAAATATCTGAATAAGTCTCTCCTATACTTATTATATGTTATGAAACCTAAGATATTCTGCTGAAATAATTGAAGTCACTGTTTACTTGAAAGATTTTCCTGGGTGGGCCTGACCTAAATAGGTGGTCCTCAAAATGGGGAAGAGAAAGCTTTTGTTCAGAGGCCTCTTCTCCTGTCCTAGAAGAAATCACACCAGCACACTATCATCTGGCTACACAAGGTGCCCTGTGACTAGGCTGAGGGTGATCCTAGCCAAGAGACCAAGGGGGCAGGGGCAAAAAAGGAGCTTGAGTCTTTTAGTTACTAAGTTGCGCAGACAACTTGAATGCTTTGATTCTGTGTTGCCAGTGAGGCGTCCCTAGTTGACACCCTGATTTCAGCCTGCATGATACTGAGTGTCTGGGTAGGCAAGATGTGGGCTCCTGCCTTACAAAAACTGTGAAGTAATAAATGAGTATTGTTTTATTCAGCTAAATGAGTATTGTTTTACTTAGCCATGCATGGACTCTTACAAAAACTGAAGTAATAAATAAATATTGTTTTATTCAGATAAATTTGTCGTAATTTGATATCTAAACAGCAAAAGAAAAAAATATAAGCTAAAATTAAGGCAGGTTAAGGAAGCAGCTAGGACAATTTAAACGCCAATGAGCAGGCTGCACATTAGGGACCTGTCTGCTGTGCCCTCCTTCCACTTCATGAGTTAATGGGTGTTCTACCCAAAGCTGTTGCTGTCCTTCTGTCCCATGTCTCCAGCTCTCACTGGTCTGCCTACTCTGGATGTCACAACAATGGCGCCTCCTACCAGCACCCAGATTCACGAATCCAGCAGGTGTGGGAAGTCTCCCAAAATCCCCAGTGGAAGGAAGTAGAGACTCTAGTAATGACCCGCACTGGTTCTGGTGCTTTTGCAATTAGTACACACTGCTACATTGTGAAGGCAGTCTTTTGGAAGTATGGTGATTTAACCTAACATTTCCGGGAGGCTGCCTCAGATGTTCTGGGAAAGAACAGCTTCGTGATGCAATACATTGAAGGCGTGCTTTGTATTACACCCTCCACTTGGTAACCCAAATTATGTATTATCATATTTAATAGATTGTGTTTGCTGGTTTTAGTTCTATTCCCTGGTGTATTACAGAACGATGCTTATAAAAACTCTTCCAGTATTTGCAGTTAGCATATTCTCATAGCAAAATGATGTATGGTTTTATGAATCATGAAAAAAAAATCACATTTAGGAATAAAGATGATCTAATTCCTTGTTGGTGACTACTTAGGATGCTCTATAACCTCAGCTTAAGTTTCTTTTCTTTTTTATTTTTAACTGTATGCATTTGTTACAGGGTCTCACTATGCAGCTTGGACTCATAGTGATCCTCCTGTTTCAGCCTCCCCAGTTCTGGGATTAGAGGGGTGAGCCACCATGCCCAATCTCAGCGGCATGCACAGTGAGCCAGGGGGCAGGGCCGGCATGGCATATGGTACCAGGGATCAAAGCTGGGTCCTTGTGCCTGCTGAGGCAGGCACTTAGACCACTGAGCTACCTCTGCAGCCCTCAGCCTCAGCCCTTTTGCATATTTTTATAGACCCCAAAGTGGTTAGGAAATTTGGTAAAAATCACCCAAGTAGCTTGTGACATAGCCAGAACAATGACTAGAATAGAGTTCAGGCACCCTAATTACTGCAGCAGTGCTCATTTCCCTGTTTCAAGTGTAGGACAGCAAGCAGGGTGCTTAAAAAGAACATTCTGTGAGTGGAATTAGCATTATACTTCAGGTATTTGTGGTAGCAAAAGCTACATGAAGAAAGCATTTGATTTGGCCTTGAAGATCAGAAGGCAACTATCAAGCAGAAATAGGCTGGGTGGGGACATATGCCAAGGAAAGTGGCCTGTTCTGAAATATCAGGTGGTTATAAAATAAACCAACTCAGCTTCTTACTGCATAAAAATGGGTTATGAGATACATCATTTTTATCATGGTTTGTAAAATTTTTTTTAGCCTCTAAAAATGCAAATGAAGCAGGAATAGCTTCCTTATATATTTTTTGACTTAAAGAGAGTATGGCAGAAACTAGACAGAGGGGGGAAAAAATCTAAGCAAGTTAACAGCAACTGCGATTGGAAAAATGGCAGCAAAGAATTTAAACCTGAGAAAAGCTGGCTTGGAATGAAAAATGCAAAGGGCTGGGCCAAAGAGTGGCAGGCAAAGCATGGGCCTGTGGGAGTCCCGCGTGTGCCTGTGAAATGTCTACGAAAATGTGTCCCCTCTATTGGAAGAAAGACCACCTTCATGCACGGTGTCTTCAGAAAAGGCTGGAGACAGTGGTCTTCTTCAAAAGTGCATAAAATATTATACAAGTCTGAACCTTAAGATGTGTGTTTTTTCCTATTTAGAACACTTTAATAAGTAGGCCGAATTTCCCTTTTAAAGGTTCCATATTTAAATATTTTGTCCGCGTAAGGACAGCACTTTAGGTAACATTTATGATGCATTCTAAAAGACAGCTGGGCCAGGTAATAAGAATCCTGTAGATACATCACATTTTCTGATTGTTTAAATTAAATATGCAGAAGAACAGTAGATTTCCATGCTCTGCACATCTGAGATAAGCAGCTGCTCCCCGGTTAGCTCAGGGAGTTGTAAATCAATGAGCGAATCCAAGTATTCTGTTTTATAACAGACAAATTATCCCCCAACTTCTACCACTTTTGCAGGAAAGATAAGAGAATTGCTTCAAGGGAAAACTGTAAAGTACAAGATTCCCATTCAAGTCATTTTTACCAAAAAGAGTCCTCCATAATATTATACTAATAAAAGGAGTGATGAAATAAATTACTTAGGGATTCTTCCTCTCTTAGTATTAGCTAAAAAAAATGTTGTTCCAGTTTTGATGGCTGCTGCTGCTGCTGTTTTTACAGGCTATGAGCTGACAACAACACAATCATGTTAAGTTTAAGGTTACATGTGCCAATAAGAAAAATTTAAAAATTTAAGAGGAACTAATTTCTTCTGAAGATTCAAATAATACTTGCAATTCTAAGGAGCAAAAAAAGCCACTTTCTTGCTTACTAAAGTAATTTGTAATTTTAAGGGAGGTGTTAAGAATTGTATTTATTTGGAAATCCACTTAGATAAGAGGCCTGAGGGATGAGATGTGTTGCTGACCATAAAGGAGCAAATACCTTTAGTGAGGATAATCACTGTATTGATGTAGACATTAAAAAAACTTCCTTGTTGGTGACTACTTAGGATGCTCTATAACCTCATGCATATACACACCCAACTCAGGTTTGCATTATTAAGTAGAGGAAACAGCAATACTGAAATAATTCATTCAAGTAAGATTCAGAGTGGGATCTCTCAGCCTAAATGTACAGGCATGTTTGAAGGGAATGGTTATTAAAAAAGAAAAATAAAAAAAAATATCAAGGCCATCTGTAGAAAGCTGCAAAAGTTCCATGTTATTGTTCCTGATTTTAATAGATAAAACACTAGGATTTAACTTAGAAAAGTCACAAAACTACACTCTCTCCCAGCCTGGTGACTATGACAGGTGGTATGGCTTCTAATGATTTGGAAGCCAAACATACTGAGTGACAGAGATCTATTTCTTGGGGGTTCCCTCCCAGCTCCCCAAGGAATCGCCATTTCTCTCTACTTTCTATGTCCTCCATTTTGCCTGGACCATTTATTGTAAAAATCAGGTAATCTTTAGAGAACAGAGGGCAGTTTCAGTTCCCACACATATCGCTAGGCATATGCTTTTCCTAGGCGTTATACAGTCCCACAGCTGGGAGGCCTTTGGGTGATCATTTAATCAAGCTCTTAAAAAAAAAAAAGGGGATACAGATGAATGTCCATTTTGTATCTGTGTATTCAAAGTGGCTAGGATAGATATATAGTTACATTCTCTTAATGAATAGAGGGATTTGTTCTAAAGGTGTTTGTAAATAGGATAACAAGTCTGCATCTTATACAGCAATTAACCACTAGGAAGAATGTATGCAATGTGTTAATTATTGAAACTGTCCTGCCAATTTGATTTGAAACTCTCTCATTGCTATTTGTTTCTCAATAAAATTATGAAAAAAAAAAAAGCTCTTATAAGATCCCTGTGTAGGGTATTTATTCTGTTCTTGAGGCTCTGCATAGAATGAACGGTTGTTCTACTCTATCACACAAATGTTCCCCTCCCATCCTACATTTTTTCTTTGTAAGAAATGACCTCTCAGTTTTCATATTACTTCTTGTACAAACCCAAAGGCAACACTGCTGTTGTGAGGAGGTCTGCCCCTAGCATGTGGGCTCCTAAGAGCAGGTTTGTGCTGTGGATAAGCCTACAGTAAAGGCTGATCTAGTGTGGGCCCCGGAAGGAACACAGTACCTCTCCATCACCCCATTATCTCCAAGATTCTGGACCACAGGTTGACTTCTTTGAGATTTCATATCATGCAAAATTGTAGTAATACTTAACCCACAAGGTAGTGATTATTACACAACAGAGGTGAAAGCAAATGAAGTAGTGTCTGAAATACAGTGGCTTTCAAAGGTTATTAGATTTTTTCTGACACAGAAAATGTTAACAAATGAGATTTGTCTAAGGAAGGCAGTTTATTACAAAGGGACTCATATACACTGGGTCAAATTCCTGCAGTAACACTTGAAGCAATTAATAAAGTGGTCCTTGGAAAGATCAAAGGGCTAAAAAACTTCTAAAATGCAGTAACCTATGACCTCCATGACTCACACAGAAATGAAAATCTAAGTATTGTTCTATTTGCTTCTCGTTTTGTAGAAAGACACTGTGAAACCATCTAATTCAAGGCATTTCAAAGTAGCTTTAAATTTACGTAGCATTAGCAGAGGAATTGGAGACTAAGGGACAGAATTGGGTTTACTTGCTAAATTTCCTTCCTTGTACTTCAAATAATTTATATTGGGAAGGAGAAAAAATACTGGAATGGGCAAGCCTTAGTAAATGTCATTACATGAACATCCTAAATAGCAGAAGTCGATCCCCAACATATGTATGCCTTAAAAAGCAAAATGTATAAAGCCTGGAATTCTTTTCATGACTTGGTCACGGGCATCTGAGGAAATCTGATTCAGAATCATCTCTAACCTTTGCCTTTTCACAACTGCTTCTGAATAATAGGTCTTTTGTGATTTTCTTCTTGTTTATATTTTAAAACTTCCTTAAATTTTAATGTTGCTTTGAAATGTATTATGTTAAATATGCCAGAACTATTAAAGAAAGTCTCTAAAAATATCCTACCCAGGTTTCCGGATATACCTTCCCCATCAAAACACTTAGCATAAAATGCTAATTGGCAATAATGAATGCAAAGAATGGATAAACATATCAGAGAAGACAGCTATCAATTTGAAGGCACAATCCTTTGGCAAGCTATCTACTCCCCAGAAAAACTATCTGTGGAATTAGTAGTACTCAGTCTTCATAATGAATTATAATGAGAATGGAGATAATTCATAATGGTATGTGGCCATGAGCCTTCAAAGCAAAAAAAAAAAAAAAAAAGTGAAATTAAGTTGTATGTATATAAATGTACTAAAGCTTCTGTCAAACTGAAATTACAAAATATGTTTTACTTATACATTTATCTATATTTGTATATTTATTAGTCAATCAACTATACAGGAGAACAGTGAAATATGTCTTTTTCTATAATAGTCAGGAATTACCTTGAGACTGAGAAGCAAAGGCATCAGATCGTCTGCTGCTCTCCCCCTTGGACCCTAACATTTGAGATGGGAATCATCTTTTTGTGTGAGCTCAAGTGTAAAGACACAAAGTCATTCAGCGGTTTCGGCCAAATAATAGCAACTACAGTTATCAGGATCCTCTTGCAATATCACCCAAGTAAATTCTCCTTTGATTCCCCTTTTAACTCTGCCTTTTGCAGTGATATTCATCAGGCAAGATCCCTCTACTCTTTCTAATTCCAATACCTTACCTTGCAGGATGAGACTCACTTCTACTCTATCTTACCCTGTTCTCTCATTTCTGGAATAGGAACGTCTAGAAGCTACCTAAATACCAAAATCTGAGGAGGCTGAAGTCTTCTTATAAAGACTGCATCATTGTCACATGTAACCAATGTACATCCTTCTGTATATTTCACATCATTTCTAGATTAGAATTCCTAATATCAACCTATACAAATCATTGTATTGTTTAGGAAATTATGACTGGAATAAAGTCTACATATTCAGTACAGGTATAAATTTTGTTTTCAGAATATTTTTAATCTATGCTGATTGAATCCATAGATGCAAAAACCATGGATACTAGGTACCAGCTGTATTATTCCACTGATTAACCAAGGTTCAGAGGATATCTGGACATATAAAACCATTGGCCTATAGGATATGCATATCCTCCAAGGACAACAGACTCTTGAGGTTCCAAGGATGAAATACATATAAGGCAAGTGACTTCTAGAAAAAAATAATTGTAACAAGCTTAAAACAGCCCAGTGGTGATCGTGATCTACCTAAGAAGCTACAGTATGTATCTCACCTGTACTATCTAGACCCAGCCTGTAACGCATCTCAGCTGGCCTTCCAAGCTTTCGACGCACTATGAATCTGCTTATGGTTTTGTGCAAGAAAAGTCCTATACTATATCCTTCCCCCAAAAGTCACTCCCCACAGCCTACACTTAAATTTAACCTATAGGTTAAATTTTCCTACCCAGTGGGGAGCACAATTAACCCCTCAGCATGTGAGTGTTTATTTTCCTTTATCAATAATGAGGATAAAAAGTTTGTGTATGTTGAAGTTTTTCAGCCTTTGAAGAGCACAGCTACATAGGCACAGTGCTAGTATTCTTACTGTGCTTTAAAAGGGAATCAGGAGCTGGTACCTCCAGGACTCACCTCTAGGATGGATGTCTGCACTTGGAGGATCTGTTCATGGCCTTTGAGCTGCCGGATGCAGATTTTGCAGGACAGCTGGGTGGTGGTGGGCGTGTAGCGCTCCAGGGAAAAGGCACAGTGCAGGGGCTGCCGGTTACTGCACCACACGCGAGAGAACGGGACTTCCTACAGGGGAGATGGAGCACAAACAGGGGCATTGGGTGCAGAGCCCAGCTGAGATAAACGGAGACCAGAAGATGCTCCACAGCAATAATTATGGTGATGATGACAGGGCTCACAGCAGCGACAACTGTCTAAGCAACTTTGATGGGATTATTGTAGAAATAATGTTCCAGCATATGCCAGGCAGCACAAAAATAATTAATGTCAATTCCAATTGATAACATTTGCATTCAAAACCACACTGCAAGAGCTCAGATTTCACTCTATGACATATACAATTAGAAAGAATACCAATGAAATTTATCATTTTTCCACAAAAAATTATTCTCCTAGAGGACACTTGTAATTTATCCTTCTACATAAGCCCAGGGTAAGATGACATCTTCTGATTTAAATTTGTTTTAAAGAACAGACTGATCAGAATCTGGTTCTTGCGTTATAGACTCATGTAGTATTGTATGGGAACACAGAATTGCCAAAATATCTAGCATAAAAATAAATACCTACTGCAAAATAACACATATGAACACAAAGCCAAGAGAGGAAAACACAAATATTGCGCTACTCCAGAGTGCTGTAGTTTGCCAATTTTCTGTTTTGTTCAATTCATCAACTCCACAATTATTTATAATTCCCTATAGCGAGCTCTATGGGGAATGAGGAAAGCTTGCTAATGGCTAATGGTTGGACATACTATTAGATAAACAATGAGAAATAATAACTATTTAGGTTTGGTTCCTGCTCTCAAGGGACTTATAGACAATTGAATGGGCAAAGTAATTTTTACTAAATGAGGATGAAAATGATTTCTTAACACCACCCAGTACATACTACCAATAGGACTGTGTTCAGGCTTCTTGCTTTATAATATGTCTTTTAATGTTTTCATGTAATCAAAAGCCTCTTCTTGCTCAAACAAGGCTGGGGTCAATGGCAATGACCATGGATACCCGACATCAGGCCATACTCAACCCTAGCATTGTCTACTCGCAACACTAAAACTGGAAGGTACTCAGAGGCATATCAAGTCTGGAAGCTTGAGACTATGAAGAATGACTGCTGATGTATCTGCTGGGTGTTATAAGACCAGCAGTCAATTAAAATTCATTCTCCTCACTTTGGGGCACTACGATTCATTCAGGTATTCTTGGGCTCTATTGTACACATGGGCTTATATAATATATCTAATTTTCTCTTTAAGAAACTATACAGATCCTGATTTTCTTTGCTGGGGACCAAGCAAGGAAAGATAAATTTTAGATCACTATACACTTAAAAAAGGAAGAGCGAGCTCTATGGGGAATGGGGAAAGAAAATCAAACATTCACTCTTGCCATACATCTTAGTATTGGATATAAGAATTTTGCGAGTTTTATTTGTGGTCTTTACCCTTTTTTTTTTTTTTTCTTTTTTTGTCTTTATTCTTAATACTGAACCAGAAGAAAAGCAATGGAGATTCTTCTCAAGAAGTAAAGACAAGAACTCAGAAAGCACACAACTGTGACAATTTATCGCATTTTATTGACTTCATTCCCGTGCAAGATGCAGACAATTACTGTCTCAGGTGGCAGGGGCTAGAAGCCTGAAATTTACTTTATAGCTTCCATTGCTAACAGTAGCTCATATTTCTATATTGCTAATGGGAGGCAGTCGTGCTGGGGGTAAGATGAAGCAGGGGCATGAAGCTTCCTGGTGACAGAGGTGGCCAACCTTAAAGGCATAACATGGCAGCACTTGCAAGGTAGGCAGGGGCCTCTGGTTGTTCCCCTGAGACTCATCTCTTTTGGTGGTGGGGTAGTTTCATGAAATCCTGGATCCTGTTGGTTTCCTTCTGATATCATTACCGGCTTCCTCTAACATTGAAGCTGGGTTCTTCACTGGTTACAGAAACACATAAATCCCCGAATTAAATATGTCTTAGGTTGAAAAGTCTTGAATGCTTTCTGTAATGTTGAGCAAAACAATTCTTTCTTGAAATTCTAGTGGCTCTGAGAAGTTCTCTTAAATTGCAAAGTAGGTAACCTGGAAAGATGATACTGGTGGGGCTCACAGAACTGACATCTAGGACTGTCACGGGGCTATTTTGGCAGAATAAAAAGTTGTTGGTATCACCAGCAAGGCAGTAATCTCCATGAAGTTTTTGGTTTCTCCTTGTTTTCAACAGAGACTTTCATGTGTGGTCATTTCCCTTCTCTTCCTGGCAGAACATGCCACAGTAGAAGGCATCTCTGATTGGCAGAGCTTCTCAGTGAGCAGTAGAGAGAGGCATTTTCCCTACAACACTCACAGATATATTTTTTCTTCATCCTAATTTATACAGAAAAATCCTGCCCTTTTCCCTTTTATCTAAGCTGATTCTTTCTCGTTTCTCCTCCTGAGTCGTCTTCCATTTTGAAACCCATGAGGAACTTTTACTTCGGAATTCAAACCCTTCATTTCTCTCTCTGCTTACTGAACTCGTCAAGTTGCCATCTGCTCACACATGCCCACCTGCCATCTCTCTACAGAGGGAGCTACAAACTACCTCTCTGCATGTACCTCTTTGTCTTCAAGGCCCGCCATTACACCTCTCAGCACTCATCATAATTTCATTTGGCCTTTATATCTCTGGCAAGTTTATCTGTTTCATTTTGCCTTCCATACTGAGACCTAAACCCAGCATCTTTATACTAAGCAACATTGCCAGTCATTTGTCTCTTATTTCTTTATTCCGAGACAAGGTCTTGCTAAGTTGCCAAGGCTGGGGTTGAACTTGTGATCTCTCCCCACATCCTTACACAGTGCTAGGATTACAGATGTGCACTGCCACACTAGGAGTCCTCTAATCACCGGTTTTTAGTCTCTACTGGATAAAACTAATGGGAACTTTGAGTCTTGATAGGAAAGAGGAGCAGAAAGCACTTGATTTCTATTTTTCAGAGGATAGTGTTACAGTCTCACTTTTACCTCAGTCATGGGTGGGAGACAACTCACATGATCAAATGACATCAGAACTCTGCTACCGCAATTCACTGGCAAAGGACAGTGTCTCCTGCTGCCTGCCATGCTAAACACAGCGTCCTGCCTGGTTCTCTAAGGCCTCCCTTGAGATTGTGCCTGTCCTTTGCTTGCTGTCTCCCTCTTACTCTTCTCAGCTATGGAACAGTCTCTGTTCTCCAAATCAGAACATTTGTATAGCATCACTTTGTACCATCCCCTTAATGAAAGTAAATAAACCTCAGGGGTCTGCCATGGATCTGCTTTTAGCTGATCAAGGAAGTTTCTTTTATCCACAACCAAAATTTAAGACAGTGCAGTATAATGTAAATACTGGACTTCAGGGCTAGGAAGAGCCATGCTCATGGTCCAGGTTGTAAGAAGCCTACATTTTCTGCAGCAGATTTTAATCCTTAGTCTTGTGTAACTTTCTAAAAAAGTAACACTGACCATTTATTTCAAAGTGTTTTCTAGAGTATCGTTTGGTAAATTTCCTATATTTTCTCCTGAAAACAATGGAAGAAAAGAGAGCAATGGCTACTGTGAGAGAATCGTTCCTTTAGAAGGATACGAGAACCAGTGCTGTGCCAACCTGCTCCCTCGCTCTCCCTTCCTCCCTCCCATCATCTCTCCCTCTCTCACCCTCTGTCCTTTTCCCTTTGTGTGCCAGTGCACATAACAAAAGCCTTTTTAAAAAAACTGATTTTAAGATGGTATCAAAGGAGTATTTTTTTCTTGTTAACCTGAGTAACAACTATCAATGGTACTCAAAAAATATTTTAAAATAATAGAATTAGAAGCCCTGTGATTGTGTGTTTTCAGGACAAAACTCTTTGCTTTTACTTACTAAAAAATAAGAATAAAAGGAACCCTAGAAAACAAAAACAAATTCACCACAGCACTTACTGAGCTGAGGGATATTATGCAGGAACCAATAGAGAGGACAAAGTGTAGCGAAGTTATGGGTGTTTAAAGAATTCCAGAGATGTTTTCATTTTGATTCCAATTATAATTAGGTTTCTAGCAGATGGGGAGAATGTAAATCACATCCTAGCAGGAGACACACACTGAGTTCTCCAATATACATAGCATGCGGAAAAGACAGCTGCTTTTATCTCAGCAAAGTGACAACCTGACTTTGTTTGGTTGGATTTTTAAAAATAAATAATTGATTGTATACTGTTTATGACAGCTTCCCCATGCCACAGGCAGCAAGAAATAAAGCAAGCCATGATTATGTAGCTCTGAGGTCCCAGTAACCTACATAGGGCAGAGCATTTACCTCCTGAAGAGGGTTGTGAACCCCTGGGGCCAGACAGCAGCGGGAGGCTGATGCCGCCCTCCTGCCAGTGCTAACATCCCAAAGCCTGAATGGAAAGCTAGCAGGCATTCATTTCTGTGAGTGGGGACAAGCACTGAGGCCCCCAGTTTTGCTTCCCACCAGGTTTATGGGTGTCAGGCACCCAGATCTCCAAAGAACTCCCACAGCTGGGCCTGGTGCCAAATGCACAAAAGGCAGTAGCATCACATAGCTGCAGGACTCCAAGAAACTAACCAATGAGATTTCAACTTTATGTGGTCCTTTTATATATAGATCCTCATCACTTAGCTCAGGGCACAGTGTGAGCTCACGCTAGTCTAAATCCATGTCTCACTAGCTTGTTGGTGTCTGGCAGACAGCAAATATTCTGTGCATTCACTGAGTCTCTCCCAAGCCCGAGTTCCCAGGAGAAAGCAGGATGATGTCATGAGCAAGTCGAGTTTGGTACCTAATTGCAGTACATCAATTTCTAGAATCTCAATCTGAAGTTAGCAACAGGGAAAGAAGACAATGGTACCAGAGATTTTTCATCTTTTGAGTTGAGAGATTGCAGGGTGATTTACCAGTTGAAAGAGAGACCTACACATGGTGTCAGGAAGAGTGTGATGTGCTGCCTCTACAATATTTCTCTGGGATACCATGAAAAATATCTCTGTCAGTTCCTAACCACTGAGCCTCAATGACAACCCATTCTCGGCTGTCCACACTAAGTTTGTCAGTGCACAGGATGTTGTGTAGGAAGAGCAAGCAGGCTGAATGCAAATGCTCCCCGAATACTTGCATGGCCATTAAACCAAATGTCAAATGCATCCTCACAGACTGATGAGTATCAGTGATAGCAGAGGCAAGGAGATTGGTGGGAAGGGATGACGGGGGAGGAGGGATGCAGTGGAAGGCCACTTTGGGTAAGAAAAATGAAGTAGAAATGAAAACTCAGTGGCAAGCCTCCTGATGCTGAGAAAATTAAATTGTTTCTCAGCCTTCTAGGACTCTTTCAAATTATGCTCAATTACAAAAGGCAAATATTTATACATGTTCACAACCTCCGAGCAATCCAAATCAACCCAGCAGTGAAGCTCACTGGGTCTCCTCGTGAGTTAACACACTTTGGCTTTGGCTGACCCTGGTGCATCTGCTGAGCTCTCTCAGCCTCCTCTGCCCCTGGCTCTCCCATCTGATGTTTTATGTTCAAGCATTAAACTTAATAGTTACTATGGACTGAGTCACTCATATTAGATCCAATGAAAGGAGACCCTTATATCCTATAAAGATTAATACATAGGAATTTGCATGACTATCAAGACTTGTTTTAATAATAAGCTCTGAAGTTCAATTTGGGCTAGAGAATTGAGTAATGCTTACTGTAAAAGAAAGACACCTAGGTCTTCAATATCATTAGGAATACATTTATTCATAGAAGATCACTCTTCACAAGGAAATGTGCTGAATGTGTTAAACACACATGTACGTGCATGAGCACACACATACACAAATTGTTTGTGGCCATGACAGATATTTATATTACTTTGAATGCACTAAAATTGTACTGTCCCAATAATGTGAACTTGGAAATAGGAAGGGTACCCTTGTCCCATTTGAAATGATTTGAAGTTGAAGGTTTGATGGTTGAGCTTTTTTCTATTACAGCAAAGTTTCTTCTTTGTGAATTGGCTCATTACCATTCTGAAAGCTGGAAACTTGCATATCATTTTAAAAAATGAATCTGCAAGGATGGAAAGGCTAACCATCACCACAGTGGTCTGTGTGTTATGCTGATGGCCTTGAAAACATGCCTTAATTTCAGACTAAAGTGAGTCCTCCAGAAGCTTTTCTAGGTCTAGGGAAACTCCTATTGCTTGAAGCTCAGGTGAGCCCCCTGGCTTATGAAACTATAGTGGACAGAAGCATGGTGGTGTGTGCCTGCAATTCCAGAACAGAGGGAGGTGCAGGCCAGAGGGCCAAATGTTTGAGCCCCATTAGGGCAACTTGGTAACATCCTGTTAAAAAGGGCAGGGCATGTGGTACGTGTCTCAATGGCAGCATACCCTTAAGTCTAATCCCCAGTACAGAAAAAAGAAAAAAAAAAAAACTAAACTAAAAAAACAATAAAACTCCCAAATTACCCCCCAACAAAAAATAAAAAAAGAGCCAGAAAGAAATAAAATAGAAAATATGATTGCCTATCCAACAGCTTATGGGAATTTTCATAGTCTTATGGAGGAGTATCACATTTGGAAGAAATCTTTTCATGCTAAGCATACATTCAAATTCCCTAAAATCATCTTAAAAAAATTGTGAATCATCTTGCAGTATTTAAAAACTCAATTAAGTGACATATGGGCACTAATATATAAATATTTTAGTATTTGCCAAATGACTCCAAGAAGCATCACTCTACCTTTCCCTTTCAAGTTGGAATGTCTCTGAACTGGCTCAATCCCCTCGGAGGCAAGCACTTCATATAAAAACAGCAGCACCTTTTGTGCTCCAACTCAAAGTTGTGCCCTAAAAAAGTCTGTCACTGACACCTAGTACCCTCGCTGCTGAATGTGAAAAGGGAAATTCTCATAGCTAATTTTTGTAAGCAATACACAAACCCTGCTCAAGTTGGTAAGTTGCCATCTTTGACTTACATGGAGCACCAATTCAAAGAACAGGAAGAGACACAACAGGACATGGCATGAGAGCCCCTTCCTTCCCACCTGATATAAACTGTGCATTTATGACAATACAGTTAAATCCTTCTGTGTAGCTATGAAGACTACAACCATGGGACAATTTTGCAATGAAATCCATACTTTAAAGTACTAGAACAGCAAGAGGACTCTCACTAGGGTGTCTGACATTTTCTCACGCTAGAGCACATGGTTTCTGGGAAAGCCCATTTGGCCAGTACCTGGCATGCAGTGAATGGTTTGATTCTCCAGAGGAACGGAGGGATGTCAAGGACAGAGATCTGGAGACTGAAGGTGTTTCCTTTGAAGTGCAGCAACTTTGGTTCCTCTAGTAGCTGTCCACCTTGATGCCTTTCATCTGAAACCACTTCCTGCAGGAGATAAACGACCAGAGGAACAGCAGTGAAGCACTGGCATCTCTGAGCTTCCTTTTATGGGTACGGACACTCACTACATATGACTCCCATCGATGGACCAAAAGCATAATAGAAAAATACTTGTTTTCAATCTCCACATTCCTAGGAAGTTCACAATGAAGGACTGAAAGCTGCTGAGCAATACGAATTGGTCAGTGAGAGACAATTCTTTGTGTGGGATGCTCAGGCTTCAGTAAGTGGGTTCCTCTAAAGCTAAAAGACCTCTTCTGGACCCAATAAAACCGTAAGCCTCCCAGGTCTCTGTGAGTGCACAAATCATTCTGACGCACCTATCATCCATGGAAGTACTTGCGCTCCTGCATAATCCTATTTCACAATAAAGTTAAACACATCCCTTGCCACTCTGTCCAATTAGTCTCCAGTAACACAGGCATTACAGGTGGTTTTTTTTTTTGAGGGGCTCAAAATAGATGTTTCAGAGTGCATGTTTATTTGTGGCAACATTCATAAAAGTTACAATGCCAAAGGCCAAGAAAAAATAAGCTTTTATCATGTGCTTTAGTTTGGGGGAAAAATTAAGTTACTGAGGTTAAAAACTCATTTTTCACTGAATCTTTATATGTAATACAAATAAAACCTACATACATCCTATTGAGTAAATATTTATTTGGTTTTAAACTTATGTTTAAAATTATAGGGCTGGGGAGATGGCTCAGTGGAATAAGTGCTTCCCTGGCAAGCGCAAGGGCCTGAGTTCAATTCCTGGTTCCACCAAAAAAAAAAAAAAAAAAAAAAAAAATTATATTGAAGAGATGATAGCACAAATAAACTAACAGAATACATATGTGTTCTGTAAAATAATAAGCCACTGTGAAGATAAAACTTTTCACATGACTGGAGATAAAAGATTTACCTTACTACATTGAAAAATCATCATTAATTTGGTCAGGGAGATAGCTCAGTAGTATAAGCGCTTGCCTGGCAAGCTCAAGGTCCTTAGTTCAATCTCTGCTACCACAAGAAAACAAAACAAAACAAAACCCCACCATTAATTGACTATGTTCTTGCAGACCTGGGAGAAATGAAACTGTACAAAGCCATTATGCCCTATCATCTTCCAAGAAAGGTTGTAAGAAGTAAGGCAAATAAATTTATCAATACAATAAAATTTGAATATCAATTATTTATGAGTAAAAGCAGCTTATTGAATTATTATATATACATACGGCATCAACAATGTGTCTCATTTTTATTCTTCAAGAACATATCGACTGTTAATATGTTAATAGATGCTAGTATATTTTTTAAAGAAGAAATGATTGAGTTTCAATCTATTTTCTCCAGCTCTTTGGTCTCTCTAGTGGGAAGAACAGTTCTTAGGACCCTTAGGTGAGAGGATTCTGGTGCCTGGCCTCGACACGGAGTCAGTAACACACAAACCTCTACCTGACTTCTCAACCACCTGCATGCCTATATCACCCCAAGAGAGTCACTTGAGTTTTCCTATCTGACTCTTATATGCCAGTTAGAGTAACTATTCAACTGATTTCTGAGTACAGAAGGTGGTAATAATGGAGCAGGTAGCAATAACAGAAGTGGCATTCACACTGAACCTTTAGTAGGTGTAGGACACGCCACTTAGAAGGGAGGAGGGAGTACCACAGTCAGTAAACGGGGCCTACAGAGGAACAGTGATCAGACTTAGATAGGACAGGAAGTTAGGGTGACAGGAGCATGGCTGAAAACAATGTACATGAATGTCAGAGCCCACATTACCAATTCTTGCTTGTTATGCTGAAGGCCTTGTATTTTATTTTAAAGTTAACATGTTGCTCAGGTTGTAAGGTATACGATGATCTCCTGGGGCTACAGGTAGTCAAAAGAGTTCTCCTAAGTGAAAGATGAAAGCTCAAAATTCCAGTCACACTTCTGTGTGGTCTTAGACAAATTACTTATTTTCTTTAGGCCTTGTTTGCTTACCCGGGTTTATTCCTACCCAAGCAAAGTAATTAGCATGATCATATATTATCTGTTTTGCAATTCTAGTGCAAGGTTAGAAACAGTTATAAGAAACATGCTTATTAAGACCATATCAAGGCCATTGTATGAGAACGATGTTGACTCTAAGGGTGCTCTGAACTAGGCTCTCTGAAGGACACTCCTTTTCTTTCAGTCTAACTTGCTGAAATCCTCTAAGAAAAGCAAAAATCAAGGGAGATGCAGTGGCTCACTGGAGACTGTGCGTTACCTCATGGAGCACTAGACTGTTTTAATATTTAGAAATTATGCAGAATGATCATATTACAGGGGAACTTAATGGAGATTTACATCACTCGGTCCTGGTTTACGGAAGATATAGAGCCTTCTCTAAAGTTGTCATTTCACTAAAGTTGCATGGTTGATAACAGGATGAAGACTAGAGCTGAGCAGCTTCACCACAGTCTGTTGTCATTGGCTGTTAGATTCCCTGGCCTTCTCGTACACTACGCTTGATGCTTCTTTACAGAGTCCTGAGAGGGCCACACTATTAACTCTGTTCCACAAATAATTTAGTATTAAGACTTACATGAATTAATATATGTTTGCTGTGGAGTTACATATACTATCTATTATTAGTAGTATTTTTTTTTTTTTTAATTTTTGTGGTGCCAGGGATTGAACTTAAGACCTTGCACTTGCCAGGCAAGCACTTATTCCACTGAGCTATCTACACAGCCCCCAAAAGATTTTATTATTATTTTTTGTACAGATACTATCTAAACAGTCCTTGAAATGCATGGTGAAGAATATCAGAAATTTGAAAAATGAATATTTCCTTACATCTGCTACAGAGTAAAAGGTTACGTTTAAAACCTTCTGCTCTAGGCCTCCAAATTAAAGACAACCATAATATAGTTTTCATATTATTTGGCTATTACTTTAGTCTGTACATACTGAACCAACTATGTAGAATTAATAGTATCATATACTCTCACACAAAATATTAAGCAATTATAGTAATTCTGTAACAAAACAATTGTTAAAATGAAAAAGCCAATAATGTACTAATCACTATATTTATCTATTTATAAAGAGATAGTTGGCTTTAGTATTGAAGAAATAATCTCCTGAGTAGAACTAAAACATTCTCTGAGAAGAATGACCATATTTAACACAGACTTCCACTCTTGCTCTTAGATCAACTGTATTCTCTGGGCCTGAACATCTGCATTCTTTTCATTACGATTTGCTATACATAGATTGAACCCAGAGCTCTCACAATGTGCTACATCTCCAGGCCTTTTTATTTTTCATATTTATTTTGAGACAGGCTTTCATCAAGTTGTTAACTTGCCCCAGCTGGGTGTGAACTTGCCTTCCTCCTTGCCACCCTGCCTCCCAGAGTGCCAGGATCATAGATGTGTACCATCATGGCTGCTGACATTTGTACTTTAGGTGGTTCTCAGATGATCCTGATGCCTAGCTATGCTTGGGAATCAGTGATACAAATAGCTCTGCTGGGTGGATTTAGAACCACTCAAATGTACAGATCACCCCAAGCAGGAGGTCTGAGAGTCACGTGGGGTTTCCTTTCTGCCACTTATATTCCAGGTAAGTCAACTGCTTCAATGATTCCTGTGTTAAGGAATCCAGAAAAGAGGATCTTGTTTGTTCTCATATATAAAAGCTTAGGGTTCCACACCGTGGTCTCCTCGGCTCTCTGTTACTTCATTTCACTTTAGGTGTTGTAAGTTCTGGAAGCTGTGGCCAGGAAAAACCTGGCCTTCTTTCTGCCTCACTGAGCTCTTTATGTTGATATAATGAGACAGGCAGCAATGTTCAGGTGTGCTTTGGGGATACCAAAACATGCAGGCCAAATTTACATATTTATGAGACAAAACTGTTTGAACTTAGGCACACACACACACACAGATTATGTTGTGGTGTTTTCCTTTTAATGCTTTACATGAACAATATTTCCCAAGGTTGCATTATTGATAAACACAAGGGCTACATCTGGAGGAAATCCTTTAAAATTAGATTCTAAATCCACATTAATGCCAAGGAAGTAATGAGTACAGAGAAATACTGAAGAGCAGCGCTGGGAGCCATGGAGAGAAGGAAAAAAGACCGACTGTTCTCTTTGTCTTTCTAAGATAACAAAGGGCAAGTGCTTAATTCCTTACTTGTCCCATGTCAAGGTTTGTTTAAGCTATATGTGTGCGTCCATGTGTAACACAACTCAATAAAGAAAAACCAAGTCTTAAAATGGGATGGCTTTGGAAATAAATCACCAACCCTCAGCCTTCGTTTAAATTCACCAATGGAAGCAATGGCAAGCACACAGACCCCCAATGGCTCCTCTCACTGTCCTAGAAACCAAAGCAGGGGACAAGAGGTTGCATGAGCGTTGCTTTCCCATCCTTACCTCATCTTCTGGCAGATGATGTTGTCATTTTTTAGTAACATATCTCTATCTGAGTTGCCTTTGTTTTCCACATAGAAAGAGATGTACTTAGAACAAATCTCCAGAAAAAGCTGATCCTCTATTAATTGTGTCTTTTCCAGGTAAATAAAGTATATTGTCTTTGTTGTTTGAAGACACAGTTACTGTTCCTCAGCTAGGCTACTTCAGAACACATGAAAAGCTGAGAGGCCTTGGAGGAGGGCTAGGGAAGCCCTGGAGCCACTAGGATGTACAGATCACCCCAAGCGTGAGGTCTGAGAGTCACCTGAATTTTCCTTTGAATCAAATACTGTCCTACCTAGTTCCTATCATTCTTTTAAGGGAGGAGTCTTTGGCGGGGCCAAGTTGTTTGCTGGCTCCAGCTTTGTTGTGATCTCTTAGAAAGATTTGAGTTTGGATAGGCAGAGTGGTTTCTCATGCAAGGTTTTGCAGAGGTAGGAGAGGCATTTCAGTGTTCTACGTGACATAATTTCCCAAGATGTGAATGAAATGTGGGGTGTAGCTGTGCCCTTCCCCCGCAGTTGCCTCCTGCTTGGGAGCAAAGCCCAGCTAGGTGTCATGTGCTACCATTTCTTATTGATTTGCAGTGAATACAGCAGCTGTCAAAACTATGTCTGCACTGGCTTGCTAATCGTGATGCACATTTCCTTTTAGTGATAATTACAGAAAATTCTAAGATGCACAACTTCAGCAGAAATGCTTTGTGATGAAGTCCATGCTAATTTTGACAAAGACAGGTGCTGTGAGGGTTTCAGAACATATGCTACCTTGTATGCAGTATATTCAGCTCATGCCCCTGAGTTGGGGGAGTTGATATTAGCTGTGAAGTCTTTTAAAAGTTTCAAAAGGTGAATTGTTGCTGATGCTTTCTTAAAGTTTTAATGGATTGGTAGGTATATTAGTTCTCGCACTAATAAATACTATATATAAAACCATAAATATGTAATGCAGATGATTTAAGATATTGAGGTGATCATAGTGAATTAATGCTGATGGTCCTGTGCACATTTGCTTACCAAGGTAAAAATCCAAGAGAGAAAATAATTTCAGACACAAAAACCAGATTCTATGACTAGGAAGTAAGTGGACTAAGAAGACTCTGTTCACAAAAAGGTACCATCATTTTGTTTTAAGCTATTTATAAATCAAAAAGTTATTCAACCAAGGTTGATGGCCCCACTGAACCCCAGAGGGGAAGTCTGGTCTTTGCTGCTCGTGACAGCTGTCACATTCATCCTGACAATAACAAGTGCGATCAAAGGGGACTTTAAAGTCAAATTTAGCTGACATAATAGGAGAGACAAAGAATCACCAGGGATGAATACATTATGGTGAATGGGGTTCTAAGGTATTGCCATTGAAAAATATTTTTCTAAAGCAAAGTTATAAGTTTTGCTAATTTAAGACATACCTCAACAATGAAATGAAGTCACATAGATTAAATTACAAGGAGACTGACAGTTTGTGTAACAGTGAGTAAGAAGAGCACCAATAAGACAGATAGTGGCTTGGACAACTACACTTGGGGCCTTGTGGCCATGACTTCTTGGGCAGTGCATGTGGGGGGTGATCAAATATATAGTGGAAGTTTAAATTCAAAAATTCTTACACAAAAGAAACATTACCATTAACTCCCACCCCCATATACTCCTGCACTTTGAACACTGTCATCGCATTCTTCTTGGCCACTCTCTGAAGCAGTTCTGAAAGTCTTCCTTATGAGTGTCTTTATTATACTGTCCTGGCTGCTCTGACATTTTGAATTAATTCAAAAAACTTACCTTTCATCATAATTTTGACTTCAGGGAAGAGTTAGAAGCTGCGTGGTGCTGGAGCTCAGGAGCAAGGCGCCAGGAACACACTGCCATGTTTTTATGAGGCTACCTTTTTGTTCAGAGGCACTCAACTATATTTTTGATCATGCCTCATAAAAACACACATGAAAGAGGATTTCCAGCACTGTTTCAGGAGGTGGCCAGAACAATGGAACAAGTGTATTCAAAATGAGGAGGAACATTTTGAGAGGGTTAATGATGATGTGTTTCATTGTTGTGATATGTTTTTTTAAATGTAAACATTCACTACTTTGGGGGTCACATCTTATATTTGAACAGTCCAGCTGTTGCAGAATCTGATAGCATCAACAAGAAGGAAAATAGATGACCCAAGGTCACTGAGGGTAGCCTCTTTAAGCCAGTGTCTATCTTTCCTGCTATTTGCGTCAGAGTGAGAATACCATTGAAAGCACTTCTACGTTGGCTCATGGCTGAGTCTCATGGCAGCTGTGTGAACAGCTCTGCATGGTCACATCGGTGAGCAGGGGGTTATCTCCATGTTCCCAGAGATTGGAAATCCTCCACAATCCTCCATGCCCATTCTAGTTTGCTCAGACTTTAAAATCTGGCTGAGTTACTAAACATCCAAATAGAGTCACTGGTACATTTTACATAACTGTTTCGTGGAGGTAGTAACCCTCAAGATGAACCCCCCCCACTTAGCAATTTATTTATTTATTTTTTGGTCTACGGAACATCCATCATATGTTTTCTCCTGGAGAAACCCTCTTTATGGATCATACAGAGAGCAAATAGAGTACATTGTATATAAAATGACAGTCACAGGTGATGCCTAATTTTTACAGTGAAGTTGTTTCCAAGATGTGATGCCTATAGAAGAGGCCCCTTTTGTGAACATCCTAAAAGTATGCCCTTCTGAGTGACTTGTGCTGCTTCCATTATGGTCCAGTGAGGTTTCGGAGTGCAGGCTGGCAGCGTGGTGTCACCTTTACTGCCTTATGTCCGGGATTCAGATCATCCTATCTTTTCTATTGGTAAACATGAGTTTTCCAGCTCAGTGTCTTAAAATCCAGTTACTGCAGAAATGTGCTGCATAATGGGCTTAATGATCCAGGACTGGAATAGCAGGGAACTGGAATGAGGTCTGTCAGGAGAGCTGTGCTATTTATATATGAGCAAAGCTTACACAGGCAGTTCTGCATTATCCTTGCCGCTATTAATAAGCTTGCACTCTTCGTGAGTAACTAATTTAAAATGAATCTTAGATGATTAAAAGTACCAAAAATGGAAAGGAACCTTGAACCATCTCTGCCCTCATAGCCCTGATAATTAATAGACAGTGTGTCCAGGATATAATATGACTGGCTGGTGATATGATTTATAATTGTTATCCTAACTGCAACCTTCAGTTGGTTCAAGCAGTATTTTCTCTGACCTCTGCAGGTCCAAGAACTCTGTTCCATGACATGAGCTGTTTTCCTTTCTCTACATGGTATCAGCTTGTCTTTTATTTCTAAATGTTGTGCAGCCATTAGGTTTGAGAGAAGTTCTGTAAGACTTTCCTCCACTTTCTCTTATCTCATTTGCATCTCTATTTTCTGAATCATGACTGCAATGAGTTTTATAATTTACTATACACTGTTCTCTGTGTGCGCTAATTTGACCTTTCTTGCATCTTGAGTCCTTCTCCATTATTGGGTATCCAGTAGGTAACACAGCTCTTTCTCAAGGTGGATGTACTGGTCAAACCTGTATTGTGGGTTAGTTTTCCAAATCCCCAACAATATAGTCCTTTATTGACGTTGAACATTAGGAAACTTCACAATTTCATAATCCAAGGAAAGTATACAAAATTACTAACCTGAAATGCACAAGGGGTGTTATCCACACAGTAAACTCTCAAATTGTAATCCAGAGAGTTACAGGACATGCAGCCAAAGACTGCCACCTTGAGTTGCTTCACAGCACAATCTGTGATTGGCTCTCCTGTAAGGGCATAGGTCCCAAAGCTATCAAGGAGTACATGGCATGCAAAGGGATCCAGAAGGCAGTAACAGGATGTGGATTCGTCCTCCACTGACATCACTTCCTGTTGGAGAAAGATGAATTAAATTGTCTGAGCCTGCAAACATGATAGGAGTTAGCACTTTACAAGGACATACACAAATAAACCAATACGAAGAAATATTTTTTTCAGAATAGTGTTATTATCTTAATTATCTGATGTTAAGCATGTCTCTTCTATTAAAATAATTGCTTACATAAAAAGCTGAATAAGTGGTTATGTTTAGTGAGTGATAATTTTATTTTGATTATAATAACAAAAATCACTTTGGAATTCCATTTCTGGTTAATGGTTCAATGTCACTCTTACAAAAACGTTGAACATTAACCTCAATTAAAAAAAAAAACTTTTTTATATGTAAAGTTCTATTTCAGAAAAATCATTTAAAATATCCTTAAAGTAGTGTTTATTTTCTCTTAAGCATTTTAGCCTCTTTCATTGCATTGAAATCATTCAGGAGGGACCATTAAATAAATGATTTGGATATAATATGCTGGAATGTTTTACCCTCTCTGATAAGAACTTGGGTCTGTGTGACTGGTTTGGGAGAGCATAAACATAACACCATCTGGATGGAAAAGAACCTGAGGAAGTGCTGAGAAGAGAAATTCAATGGGTAAAAATCAGGGCAAAGCAAACATAATGGGGAGGAGACCAAAACACGCTTCCTGTATGAACTGCAAGCCCCAAGACACTTTCCCCAGTGTGAGAACTGAATAGAGCACAGTTCATCAAGACATAGCTGGGCACAGGAAACGTAATCCACTGCAGCAGGTGAGAATGCTCTACTCCTTAAGAAATATGGTTCTCCTTTTACTTTTTCTGCCTCAAGCCCCTCCTGCAAGGCAAGAGCCCAGGCCTAGCAGGTGCGGGTCATTGTGTTCCAGCAAGATAATTCACTTGCCTTTATGCAAACTGACTTCAGAGGGACATAAAAGAATCCTTATCAGACAGATAAATCAGCACTTTTCACTTAAAATAGTAATTCCATTACACTTGTTCTCTGCTGCGCTGGTCTCCCTGGTTGGTAGCCCCTATTATGTGTCTTCCATTTGTGGCTTCTTTTCTGTTCTCGCTTGAGAATGTTCTCACATGCACTGGGAAACAGACGTTAGCACCAATCTGCAAGCCACTCATTAATTCACCCAACATACATTAATCCCTACTGTGTGTCCGATCAACCTAGTTAAGTTAGAATGTATGGGGGGCAGAGAGATGATACTGTGGTTTGTTTTCTGCACACAGCTGCCTCCCTGCCCAAGGCTCCTCCTTATGTCCAATATGTAAGGTTAGGCAGGGCATGGCCTGGGAGAAAGTGAAGGAGTCAGAGAGAAGGTGCACAGGTATTCCCAGCTCTGAGGATAATTCACAAGGAGACCAAATGAAATACTCTTTTCTTTTGATTGCTTGTTGCTCTTTTCCATTAGTATAGCAAAAAGCAAGCCAATGGCTTGAGAATTTTATGAAGCTCATGTCACAACTCCTTTGCAGCAAGGAAAGGTTTAAAACTTCATTGTGGTAAGAGAGGTGAAGCTGTCCAGAAAACCCAACTCTCATTTTATGGAAGAGGAGGACAAGGGCTCACCTCCCACTTGCCCTGCGGAGTCCTCTTCTTCAAGTGGATGTTCCAGTGCTCAGAGCTGACATCTGCACAGTGAGGAATGGTCAGCGCAAAGGGGGTGGTGACGATCATCTCCGGGGGGCCGCAGGTGACTTCTGGACTCAAGAGGACCTCAGGCCCCTCTGACTGCAGGCTTCATTGTGGAGAGGAGAAAAGGACAAGAGGAGGTGCCGTGAATGGGGATGCAGATAAAGGCTGGGAAATCCCAGGGGCTGAGCAAGGACCATCCAAGAGCTGCCTTCTGGGTAACACTTCATTTACCCACGGTGGCTCTGAAGAGTGATTGTTAATTTTAAACTCCTCAGGCACACATACCAAGCTGGATTTCAACCCTAGGTTTTGAAGAATAAATCAACAAAATGACAAATGCTTTTTTGGAACTATAGGGCAGAATCCAGGGACTCTAATACTGACTGGTGGGTGAAATATCAGGTGCTGAATCTTCTTTATTCTTTTTGATAATCATGTCAGTGATACAGTCAAAAGCATTCTACAAATGAGTGATATGCTAATATCATTACACTCAGATTACTCCTTACCACACATTGAATAATATTTTTAAAGTTGGTAAAATGATAAAACAAATTATTATGGAACAAAACAGTACTTCAAACATACAGAGATTGAGTATGTTTATTCTGGTTTGGAAAACATTTATTTTCTGTCAATGCATAATACATAGGTTGTATAGTGATAGCACAGTAGACAGTTAGTTATAAATGTGCATAATCAAGTACATAAATATATTTTTAAAATTCTTTCCTATTTCATATCTGAATAGAAAATCATTCCACCCAAACTTGATGCTCAGAATTTTTTGCATTATGAATTACTTTCAATGGAAAGGCAGTCAAGAAACAGATAAAAGAAAATGCAATTTAACAAAAGGAATAACACTTTATTGAATGCTTCACTTTGCATTTTCTTGGTGTTTCTTAAAATGCTGGGAAGCAAAGCCAAGGACTTTAGCACACCAGACCAGCACTCTAACGCTGAGTTGTACCCTGGCCCTCACTTCTGTTTTGAATCACTGCCTACAAACAGAAAGAAGAGATGGGTCATAGTGCCAAGGTGAGTGCAAGTAATTCAGAGATTTGCTTAATTTTCCCCCAACTGTGTATGTGTTCTTGAGTAAACTATAGGCTCATTTTTTTTCTTGTTTCCTGGGTTTTCATTTCTAAGAAATATGATACTGAATATAGCCAGTAAAGCAATTTATCACACAGAGGACCATGCTACATGAAATCTAGGATTGACGTTATCAAAGACATTGCTCACACCACCTAAGAGGACATTTATATATGTTATCCCTGATTAAAACAAGAATCAATGCTTGGGCCAAACTCAAAATGAAATCTGTTTCTAAAGGATGACACCTCTCTTGTGATCTTGAGTACATGTAAAATACTATTAATTTATGAATTCCTTTTGTTGCTATCTTATTTTCTCTCATGTTATTTGTGGTCAGACTTGAGCTCATTTTCCATAATTCGCTGCTGCGTGCAGAAGGATTATCTCCCGTGTGAGACAGGACAGGGCATTGTTATATTATTTTCCCCTCCCCGGGCAAACCTAGACTTGGCTTCAGAAACTTCTATCTTCCCTGAAGGCCAGACTCAGCTGCTCCTCCCTATGAACAAAGCTGAGTTCAAGTTGTAAACACGCTTGTATTTACCTTTAAGCAGTTGGTGAGACTGAAAAGCAGTGTATTAGCAAAGGAAAATGCTCTATAAAAAGTGAAGACCAGTGTACTCTAGGTTCGGAGAGTATCCAAGCAGCAAGCGCAGCAGCCCGCGTGCAGCTGCTGCCAGTGGCCATTCGCGAGGGCAGTGTCTTTTCTGTAATTGCTGCCTGCATCCTGCAGACGGGGATGGCAGGGATGCTTATGAGTGACCGATGACAAGCTCTCCTACAAGAACTATTTAATTGCTTTCAGAGAATCATCCCCCTTGTTGAACATATTGTTCAAACATATGGGGATTTGGGGAATTATTTAATGCCAAATGAACTGAAATCAGCTAATTAGCTGAACCCTCACACTCATTGTGGATAGCAAGACTCCTTTCAGCAATAACTTAACCAGCATTAGCGGGCAGAGGCAGTGCACACCGAATATTACAAGGACTCGGAGTAGGGGTTTTTCCATTCAACAGGCATGGGACATTTTCATAAGTGCCAAATAAGGAAATCAAGATTTACATCTAATCCTCCTATCATAAAAATAATGTCTGTGGGTGTCAGCTTCTTTCTGATGGAAAAAAAATAATCTCTCCATTTTTTTCCCCATGATTAATAATAATTTGCCCTTTCCTGCTACTTTTTCTCTGAGGTAATCAAGGAGATTTACAAACATTAATTAAAGCCCACCACACACCTGTGGGGGCAGGTGTTAGCTGCAGAAGGTCACAGAGAAATCAATCAAAAGGAAGGTGACACAATATCCCTATACTTCAGACTTACCAGCTCCTACTCTCTGAGACCAGATTACCCTTTTTTTCTTTATCATTGTTAGATTTCTGGCCAAACAGCTGCTCTTATGATACCTTGGGAAAGATGGGGGTGAGACTTGAGCCCCAGGGTAGACAGAGACAGAGGTTCAGCACATCTGAGTACAGGTTGGGGAGAAAAGCCTTTAAATGCATGTGAAAAAAAAAATGATGTTTTGTAAAAAAAAAAATAAAAAAGCTTAGATGACATTTAAGTTGTCTCATATTACGTAACACACGACGAAGCAGTATTCATGTCCCTGATGGGAAAAAAAAATGCAACACAGTTTTCTAAAAGTGTTTTGAGCTAGTTAAGAGCCATGAGTAATTAACACAATGATTTCAGGGCCATAGCATGATGCCCTTCACAGTGTCTTGTAGTTACTGTTTCCTGTAGGCCAAAAGCCCTCACTTCATGGGCTTCTGTGGCCTTTCCATTCTTCTCTACACACATGTGCCTACGTGTATAGGTGTATATGGACAGAAACACCCCTATTATTGGAATGCTGTGTCTGCACAGGAAAAAATAAATCAAGATCCAGGTCTTACGTCTGCAGATCTCTGCTGGCAGGGACAGCTAATTCAGTCAGTGGTCGCTGTATCAACATGTACTTTAACAACATTTTCAAGGTCTAGTGAATGAACAGGGTACGAATTGTAGGCGGCACCTGGACAGTGTTACTGGCCTGCCACTTTCATCCTTCCTGTCTCCACCCTGTACATCTGTCCTCGGTTTGGGAACCCTCATCATCCTGCTAAAAATGGTGGCTGTCTTTGCCCTGCAGGCTTGCTGTAGTAAGCCCCACTGCTCTCCAGGGACCTCAGGGGATGAGGTACGGGATGCCCACATGAGGTGGCACCCTTGGTGCTCCAGGCCTTTCTACAGATGATGCCTACTAAGAAAGGATGGCTTGGATAACTGTACTGCTGATTCCTGCTCATCTATTGAAGGGAGAAGTTAATGCTCTTTTGTTATTTTTGCTTTTATTTTCAAAACTTTTTGACCAATTGTGCAAGCTTGTATGTGGTCTTCCAAACAACTAATTTGAAGACAACAATATGCAATATAGCAATCATTGTTGAGTTTCTATAATTTTATTGAATGAATTTTTGTATCTTTTCTAATGTTTATTAAAACTATTTTAATTTCTAAAAAATAAAAGGAAGCTTCTTATGCCTGCGCCTTGATAATTGCTGCGTTCCTTACACCAAAAACTGATTTTTTCTCTGCAACACCACGTGCCTTTTTGTTTAGTATATGATCTATTTAGTATTATTTATCTTGCACATACTGAATGTAAGCTGTTGGAGCCTGAAGAATTTTTTAGATGTTTTTCTTATAATTGCATTGTTAGTGCCTATTATATATTCTGATTTCAAAATAGCTGTTGAAAGAAACATAGCAGCCAACTTAGTGGTTCCCACTGATCATCTCTAGGGCATTTTGAGCTATGCAAGAGGACACCAAAGCTACTAATGTAATTAATACAAAAGGAAAATTTCCATTAATCAATGGAGGAAACCATCAATTGACAAACAACCACAGTAATACAAAATTCAATCAAGCAACATAAATGGATGCTAATATAATTGGTGAATGCTCCAAGAGTACTAAAAACTATGTGTATGGTCTCAAAGTATCTTACCACATGGGACTTGCTATTTAGACAAAAAGTAAAGTATCAAAATATAGTCTTACAATGAGGAATTGTGGAAGACACCAATTAATATCTGTTATAAAAGTTAACGTTGTTAGTAAGAAGATGAAAGGACGGAATAAACCTTTGGCATCCATTATGTGACATTTCTGCCCAAAGAGCACAACCTGAATCTCCTGACAGGAAAACATCAGACAGGGTCAGCTCGAGGGACATTCTGCAAACCCCCTGACTACACTTAAAAACTGTCAATGTCGTGACAAAGATTCCTTATTCCAGATTAAAGAGACTAAAGACACGTGAAAACTGAATGCAATAAATTCATATGGATTTTCATTTGCTACAAAGGATATTGGATAACAGGTAAAATATAAATAAGATCTATGAACTATGGAATAAGAGTACATTAGTGTTAGCTGCTTGTGATTATGCTGTTATGTAAGATAACTTCTTGTTTGTAGACATACGTGCTGAAGTACTGGGGTAAAGCACACCTAACTCACATAATTCAAAATCTGCATATGTGTGCATACATGTGTATTATTTTTGTGCATATATGCACAGAGAGAGACAAATATGGCAAATGTAACATACTGGCATTTACGAATCTGAGCATAGGGAATAAGAATTCTATATTATTCTTGTAGGTTTTTGAAAGAATAGATACATGAGGATAGAAGAACTGGGGAAAATTTTTCCAGAGTTTGCACAATACATTCAGCAAAGCCACTGACTAGTACATAAAATGTGTACTAGAGCTAGCAGAGGGGATACAGCTGGTAGAGCTAGGGAATGAGCCCCACCACACCATGTAATAACTGCTGTGTCCCCGTACCGCTCCACAAGCCAATGTCAAAGCCAATGGTGAAGGTCAATGCCTGCAGCAGCTGCTGGCCATGGCAGGTGTGGAGGTATGTCCTGCTTCTGTACCTAATATTTTTTGACTGAATGCTAAAGTTGTAAAATGTCATTTCCTTCAAGCAAAAATA